ACTAAGAGCAGACTAATGTTCTTATTGCTCTTTGCCCTACAAAGCACTGTAATGTAGCAGAGTCCTTGAATTTTACCTAGTGAAAGGTGCAAAACTACCTGGAAATTTTCACTTTCCTAAGCAAAAGAAAAATGCAAGGAAGGGCTCCAAATACTATTATGTGCTCTTCTTCTGGAATAAACACTATCACTTCACGGAATTATTATGAAACTTGCTATACAGGTGGCGAAATAATATGTGACACTTCTTTCATTGTTCAAGGTAGGGAAGGTTATCTGGTTGACCTGATTTGAAAACAGTCAGTTGAGTTCTACTTCCACCAATTTTCACGTTCTACCTTCTAACCTGTAACAACGGTGGGGCTAGCTCCTATTTTCAGTATCACCGTCCCAGGTAAAAACTGACACAATTTTCAGGCTTTGCCTCTGAAGCTCCAGGTCACAATCACTGGATAGCAATGCTGTTTCATCCTCTTATTCTTTTGATTTGTAGAAGCTAAAGGACATTCCACTTTCTGCTTTAATTGTGTCGCAAAGTCAGGCTCAGTTTTCAGCAGTTCTGGACTCCCAACCTTCCTGATTTCTATTATTTAGAAGCCAAGAAAGTTGAGAACAAAACCAAATCTCTTCCCATTTCTGAAGGCTTCTCCTAGATCCTAACATCTTTGTCACAGCAAATACTCATCCCTAAGGTTTTTTGCTTCTGCTTAAGAAACAAATGCCAGATAATTTTGCATCTTTGATCTAATTACTTTCCAAAGTACCTAAATTCATTCAATTGACTACACAAAGTTGACATTTAATTTCTGAATTTGTTTTTTTACAGCCTATATAATGGCCTCCTTTAGTTTATCCTTCATTCATACTGAAGCAGTCTTCAGTTATTCAAACTGCAGTATTTTCTAGATGCAGCTCTTCTATATCATTCTTCTTATTTACTGAAATCAAATCTGAAACCTTCATCACCTTCTATCTGCTCAACGAATTTGAAGAAGTCTGTCACCTATCACATATGGAAGTATCTAGGCTTACCTGGTACTAGATTTTCTAATCTTCATCTGAGAAATGTAATTCCCCCATCACTTCATTATAATGGAATTAGCAAAAACACTCGATAGCAATATTACACAGGTTTAATTGATATCCAAACCTCAAACAACTCCCAGCACTTTTCCTAATAGAATCTTTCTCACTACACCCCTCTTGAAGTAATTTTGGTTGGGAGTGGGGGGAGGAGAGACTCCTTCTGTATTATCCTTGCATCTTTCTTTGCAAACCATCACGCCACAAACATATAACGTTGCCTTCAATAGCAGAGCTCCGTTCTTACCAGGACTGCTATTCTGCCACATACTTTATTTTTTTTAAATGATCGGTCTTGACAGACTACACATACAAGCCTTTCATTAACTGCACCAAGTATCTATCGCAACCAACATTACTTTCTTTGTCCATTACCTCCACCTGCCTACACGCCTTCACCCGTTTTTAAATCTTTATTTAGCAAACCTCCCCTTCCCCCCAAGGTTACAGATCACAAAAAACAACCAAATCACAGGGCACGTTAGCTACAAATGCAAATAAACAAAGTCAGCAAACTAGCTCATTTATATTTATCCTTCTCCAGGAACGCCCTTTCTTTTTGATAAGCTCCCAGCTTACCGATTTCGTCTAACGCTCGCCACAGCTGATTATCTCCCAAAGATCACTTTTCCTAAGAATTCTTCGGATCCCTCCTCAATTCTCTACCGAAGAAGAGGCTTCAGAAAAAAGGCACTTTCTTGCAACAGTTACGGGACTCAAAATACTTGGGCAAAGCACATGCAAACACAAAACGCTAACTTCATCCTCTGTCAGTGGAGAATTTGAAGATCTCAGGTTCACCGCAGGTCTCAGGGTGTGTTTTGTTTTGAATGAACGGTAACTCTACCACCTGCACCACTCTGGCATTGTCCCCCAGGGCGACTTTTCAGCAGACAAGGCTCAAAACTTACTAGGGACAGACCAGGAAGGCAGAAACAAAAAACAACCGTTTAAATTTAAAAGGCTTTTGAGAACTTCTGCAAACCTATACCTGAGGTTTACCATTGCTACTAATTACAAAAGCATTGAAGATTATGGATCTCGGGATGACACTGCTATCGGTTAAGCTTTTATATATATATACATAAACTTTTTTTTTTATAAATAAACTTTTTCACATTTATATACCCATGGCACTTAAGGCTCCCATAAATAGCAAACCAGGACATATTTCTTTCTGGCAAAATGCACTAAGAC